GCATGGAGGCGTGTGCGCGCCCTTCTTTCCGTACTTCCAGCGGGGAATCGCGCAGCCGCCCGGACCTCCCTCCCCTGCCACACGCCCCTCCCACCCCGCCACCACCTTCGCTCGGCCTGACTTCCAGCCGCGCTTTCGTCTTGGGGCTCGTTCACCGGGCGCTTTTCCTGTCTAAGCAGGCAGCAGCTTCTTCGCAGTTAAAAATAAAAGCCAGAAGGGAAGTTGTTGCAAAGTGAAAGCCTCCTAGGAATCGTCTTTCTGACTAGTAAACCAAAGGGCTCTCCAAAACCAAGAAATACAGTAACCGCTTGCTCCGCCCCAACCCTCAATTTCTACCTAGCAACGGATGACCGAACCTCGCCTTGTAGCTAGGCTATTGGCCAACTTGAATCTTCATCTGCAATTTTGATTGGTCATCCGTGGTAGTCCGAATGTTTCCAATTGGCGAAGCTGCCACGGGCTCCCCTCCCCCCCGTTGGTCCGCAGAGGAAGCTGGAAAGGCGGGGTCGTTTCTGCGGGATTACTTTTCTGGGATCGCTCCTGATTGGGCGGCGTGGTGCGATGCGCGCGACCCTTTAGACAACAAACTGTCCGGACCCTGTCCTCTGGGTGCTCCCACCCGTAATCGGAAACCCAGGGGCAGACTTCCGGGCTAGGGCCCTTGCAGAGGGCGAGGGGTGGCCGCGGGCTCGGGCCACATTCGCCTGGGTTTCCCAGCTCCGGGCACCGACATCAACGAGTGCTTCTGGAATAAACGTGCGAATAAAGAGCCGGGACGGAGGCAAGTCCTTTAAACTTCTCTGAGCAGTTGTCCCCGCCTACTTTCTTCCACTTCCAGGTCAGGGAGGTGTGTCCCCAAGAAAGGAGGAAGCAAATTCCGCCGGCGTTCGCACGCCTGCCACAGTTCCTCGCGAGCCCTTTGCGTTTTCGGGGTCTCCTGACTCCGGAGCAAGCACTTACTCTCTGGCTTTACTGTTCCCACATCCTCTCACTGACTCGTTTCCTGCTCTACTAGAGGTCGGGAATACCTCAGAGGAGACGGGGCGGGGGGGGCTGTAGCAGAAACCAGCAGAGCTCGTCCCTGGAGAAGGGCAGCTTCCTGCCTGCACTCGGCTCCCAAAGCAGTAATTTTGCTCCCACCCGCAGAGCTTCAGTTGCCCTCTCGCTTCCCAGTTCCGCAAGACCCCTGGGCGGCGGAGTCATGGACAAGCGCCTGCAGGAGGCTCAGCTGTACAAGGAGGAAGGGAACCAGCGCTACCGGGAGGGGAAGTACCGAGATGCTGTGAGTCGGTACCATCGCGCTCTGCTTCAGCTGCGGGGTCTGGATCCCAGTCTGCCCTCCCCGATACCCGATCTGGGACCCGAGGGCCCGGCTCTCACACCTGTTCAGGAAAGCATGCTGCACACCACCCAGACAGACTGCTACAACAATCTGGCTGGTAAGAACAGGGCCGAAGGGGGGCGGGGGGAACCAGGCAGGTACCCCCAAATCTGTGAACATTGAGAAAACACACTGACGGGCTCTCCTGCGGTCATCTAGTTATTCTGCCAAGAATTGAAATATCTGTCCCCTGGCCGGGTAGCTCGGTTGGTTAGGGCGTGGTCCTGATAAGCCAAGGTGGCAGGTTCATGCCAGGACAGGGCATCTAAAGAAGTAACCAGTATAACCAATAATGCATAAATAAGTGGACAACAAATCCATCCCCCCCGCCCCTCTCTCTCTCTCCCCCTTGCTTTCTAAAATATGTAAATAAAAGTTTAAAATCCTTTATCAAATATATACATATATACTTTCCCCCCCAATTTATAGGGCTCTAATTGAGGTTCTGCAGAGCATTCGTTCTCAAACATCACCTGGAGGGTTTGTTAAACACAACTCCCGAGTCTCACCCCCAGAGATTCGGATTTAATGGGTCCCTGGTGGTGCCTACTATTCGTTTGCATGTTCTAACCGAGTCTCTGATGATGCTGATACATTTAGGAAATTCTGCATGCAATGGAGAAAATACCAAGTTTACATTGAAGGGAAGGCATTTTAAAAACAACACATGTTTTTATTGATTTCTGAGAGAGGAAGGGAGAGGGGGGGAGAGAGAGAAACATCAATGATGAGAGAGAATAATACATCCGTTGCCTCCTGCAAGTCCCCTCTGGGGACCGAGTGGGAAACCCAGGCATGTGCCCTGACCCGGAATCGAACAGTAACTGGTGCCTGAGTCCACGCTCCACCACTGAGCCATGCCGGCTGGGCTGAGGGAGACTTTTTAGGTCTGTTCTGTGGAAGGCAAACTAACCATGGAGCTAATTAAATTATTCTAATATATATTAAAATATTCTAACAGTCCAAGTTGAGGCCATAGGAATTATTGGGAGTAGTTTTTACACTTTGTAATGGTTGTTTAAAAGTGATTTTTTTTTTTTTACTATAATACTCATCAGCTATGATTTGGTGAAAATCTAGCTTTTTTTTTACAGTGCATGTTCAGTGCTACTCTTGGGAACAAAAATAGGAATTAAGGTAGTTAATGTTTCAATTCAACAATTATTTATTGGGTGCCGAGGCCTCCTGCTCTCATTAAACATGTATTCAAGTAAGGGAGATGGACAATTAACAAAAAAGTAACATAATTTTTAGAAAATGGTAAGTGCTGTGGAAAATAAATAAAGCAGAAAATGGGGATAGTGGGTGCCACAGGCATGCCAGTGTTCACTTTTAAAGAGAGGGGCGTCCATTGAGGTGACATTTACGAAATGCCCTGGGCAGACACTGTTTAAGCCCTTTACACATATGAACCTAGTTAAGAGTCACATGCCCTCCGAGGTAAATTTAAGGAAACAAACAGCTAGTAAGTGGTAGAGCTAAAATTAAATCTAGGCAATTCCTTTTTTTATATATATATATTTTATTGACTTCAGAGAGGAAGGGAGAGGGTGAGAGAGAAACATCAATGATGAGAGATAATCATCGATTGGATGCCTCTTGCACGCCCCCCACTGGGGATCAAGCCCACAATCCGGGCATGTGCCCTTGACCTGTATTGAACCTGGGACCCTTCAATCCGCAGGCCAATGCCCCATCCACCGAGCCAAGCCAGCCAGGGCTCTTTTTCTTTTCTTTTCTTTTTAAATATATTTTATTGATTTTTTACAGCGAGGCAGGGAGAGAGATAGAGAGTTAGAAACATCGATGTGAGAGAAACATCGATTAGCTGCCTCCTGCACACTCCCCACTGGGGATGTGCCCGCAACCCAGGTACATGCCCTTGACCGGAATCGAACCCGGGACCTTTCAGTCCGCAGGCCAACGCTCTACCCACTGAGCCAAACCGGTTTCGGCTCTTTTTCTTTTTTTTTAAAGTATATATTTTTATTGATTTCAGAGAGGAAGCGAGAGGGAGAGAGAGATAGAAACATCAATGATGAGCCCTAGCCGGTTTGGCTCAGTGGATAGAGTCTGCAGATTAAAAGGTTCCCAGGTTCCATTCTGGCCAAGGGCACGTGCCCGGGTTGCAGGTTTGACCCTCCCCAGTAGGGGGCGTGCAGAAGACAGCTAATCAATGATTCTCATCATTGATGTTTCTATCTCCCTTCCTCTCTGAAATCAATGAAAAATAAAGAAATTATGAGACTCATTGATCGGCTGCCTCCTGCACCCCCGCTTACTGGGGATCGAGTATGACCATTTGGTGGGGGTGTTGGAGAAGAAATGCAAACATCGGCCCTTTAGTGTTCTCATCAGCCCTAATTCTTGGTTCTCAGCACTGTGATGTAATACTATGTTTAATTCCCACACTTCTTTGAGGTAAATTTAAGGAATTTAATAGGGAAACATTTATGAAATAGAGAAACATTTCAATTTTTTTAAAAAATTTATTTTATTTATTTTTTTGTTTATTTATTTTGTTGTTGTTAATCCTCATCCGAGGGTATTTTTCCATTGATTTTTTTAGAAAGACTGGAAGTGTCGAAACTGGTTTGGCTCAGTGGATAGAGCGTCGGCCTGCGGACTGAAGGGTCCCAGGTTTGATTCCGGTCAAGGGCATGTACCTGGGTTGCGGGCACATACCCAGTCGGAGATGTGCAGGAGGCAGCTGATCGATGTTTCTCTCTCATCGATGTTTCTAACTATCTCTCTCCCTTTCTCTCTGTAAAAAAATCAATAAAATATATTTTTTTTAAAAAAAGACGAAGTGAGGGGGAGAGACAGAGAGGCAGCCCTTGAGATTCAAACCCGGGACCTTTCAGTCCAGGGGCTGAGATTCCTCTCAACTGAGCCAAACCGGGTAGGGCTGTTTTTATTGTTTTTTTAGAGAGAGAGTAAGGGAAAGGGAGAGAAGATCAGCTGCCTCCTGCACGCCCCCTACTGGGGATTAAGCCTGAAACCCGGACCTCTTGGTGCATGGGACAACGCTCAATCCACTGAGCCACACCGGCCGGGCCAAATTTCCCTTCTTAATAAGAAGGCAGAAGACTGACCTGGTCAGTTGCCTCCTAAACAGACTTGTATTTTGAGGTGCCATCAAATCATCCAAGGGACGAGTAAGTAATACCACTGAAGAAATGATAATTTTGGAGTGAGAGTCCTTGGTACCAGTTCCACCTCATTCCACCTAGAAGCTGCGGCATCTTGGACCAGTTACTTAGCCTCTCTGAGCCTGGATTTCTTCATCCATTGAACTGAGGGAGTAACACATACCGATTGCATAGATTGGGTGAGAAGATTAGACAAGCACGTAGCAGTGCTTGCTATCGCCTCAGACAAGAATTGTGGTGAAATGGAGACTCAAGACAGAGAGCCTTGGGTGGAAGAGACACAAAGAAGTTTAAATACATTTTAAAGTATAGTCTTATCCGTTTTATAGCTGGGCCTAACTCAACATTAGGTACAAAGTAGGCATTGGGTAGATGTTGAAGTAGATTGAAGATGGGTAAAGCTTGATTCACGGCTGCATCCCCTGCCTAGAGGAAGGTCTGGCACGTGGCAGACACATTTATTTGTTGGGTAAGTGAATGTTGATTCTATGTTTGGTGCTGCCTTGAGTTGGCCAGTGGAATTTAGTATAACAAGGCCCTTCTCCCTCTTCTCTCTTCCTTCCATTTGGCCGCATTAGCCTGTCTCCTTCAGATGGAGCCAGTCAACTACGAACGAGTGAAAGAATACAGCCAGAAAGTCCTGGAACGACAGCCTGATAATGCCAAGGCCTTGTATCGGGCCGGAGTAGCCTTTTTCCACCTGCAGGACTATGACCAAGCTCGGCACTACCTCCTGGCTGCTGTCAACAAGCAGCCAAAAGGTGAGCGAGACGGGGATGGAGTGGGGAGAACAAAGAACATCGTCCTGTTAAGGCAGTAGCTGTGGAAGGGGTTTTTGTTTTATTTGTTTTTAATATGTTTTTATTGATTTCAGAGAGAAAGGGAGAGGGAGAGAGAGACGGAAACATAATGATGAGAGAGAATCATTGATCAGCTTCCTCCTGCACGCCCTCCACTGGGGATCGAGCCCTCAACCCGGGCATGTGCCCTTGACCACAATCGAGCCTGGGACCCTTCAGTCTGTAGGCTGACGCTCCATCCACTGAGCCAAACTGGCTAGGGCTTGTTTTATTTTACTTTTTCAAATTTTTGAATAGATAATAATATATTCACATGGCTCAAAATTCAAAAACTATACAAGTATACAATGAACAGGCCTTCTACGCTTACATTCTTGTCTCCACAGAAAAGCAATATCATATGTATATCCTCCAGAAATCTCTATGCTTAAATGGGCACACACATATCATCCCTCCTCCTCCCCCGAGTAGAGGAGATTTTAAGGCACTGTTTTCTGCCCTGGCCAGTTTTTCTCAGTGGTTAGTGTTGGCCCTCAGACCAAAGGGTCACATACCTCAGTTGCAGGTTTGATCCCTGGTCACTGTGAATTAATAAAGAAATAAAACATAAGCCACTTGTTCATGTTTCTTACCTTCAAGTATATAGATTAACTGCCACCCAGGCATAGTATCTTTAGCGGCTCTGCTATGACAGTAACTTTTTCTTCAACCTCCCTGTCATTATAAAATTAGCAACCAGCCCAGATGTGTACGAGATTTTTTAAAAAAAATCCAAAGTGATATTAATGAGATTTACTACTTCATGGAATAGTAATATTTTCAGATCTTAGAATGATGTTTAAAAATGGAAGCATGTTAACAAATCTCCTCCTACCCTAAGGTGAGATTGTGGTGTGTCTCTAATTGCCTTCTTCGCCCTCTTGTAAGATGCCAATGTCCGGCGGTACCTCCAGTTAACACAGTCGGAACTCAGTAGCTACCATCAGAAAGAGAAGCAACTCTATGTGGGCATGTTCGGTTAACAGAAGAATGACGCTTCTCCACTTGAACTTCGGGGAAAGTCTCATCCAGTGAACCCGACCCTCGCAGGAGACACGAGCCCCACACCTCTGACCCAGGTGTCTGTCTGTCTTGTTTCTAGTCCTGCACAGATTCTGAACTACTTACCCAGTCTGCCTTTGTTTTTTTGTCTGTCCATCTATATATTTGTATAGCTTTTAATACATGGTATTCTTGGGGACATTTTCCCTGAGAATTACAACCAGAATATATTCATCACCTGTGTGTGGACTTAATCATAGATTCTAATGATGGATGTTGTCAGATGTACTCACACAGAGGAGACGTTTAGCAGAGGATGAAGGAAGGATTGGCAAAGACGAGTTTCTTCCTTTGTTTTCTCAGATGCCCAAAGCCAAAGTTAGGCCAGAAACTGGGCAGTATGTTTCTTTTGTGAACTAGACGATTACAAATTGGGCCCACATGTCTTAAAATGAAAGGTTTCAGTGCTCGCTTCGGCAGCACATATACTAAAATTGGAACGACACAGAGAAGATTAGCATGGCCCCTGTGCAAGGATGACACGCAAATTCGTGAAGCGTTTCATATTTTAAAAAGAAAAGGAAGAAAGGCCGAAATCAGTTTGGCTCAGTGGATAGAGCGTCGGCCTGCGGACTGAAAGGTCCCAGGTTCAATTCCAGTCAAGGGCATGTACCGGACACATCCCCAGTAG